AGGTCAAATACAGGTACTGCCTGCTTGCCCCGCCTAGTCCAACATGTCAGAGCTGCTTGTGCCTCTGAGTCACTTGTGTCTCTAAGCCCTGGCACGTGATGTCCCCTTTAGGCACACCATAGAAATTTATTCACAAACCCCATCTAAACGCTCTGTCTCCTGGAAAAGACAGAGTTGTGCTAGGAGCACAGCCCAGAAAGCCAGTGTTTTAAAATTGCACGGCTTTTTTTTCTACTACAGCTGAATCAGGAAAATCTCTCTTAAAGCAGCTGTGGCAAGCTGCCAGTGAACAGCAGGAAGCTGTGTTAAACTCTATATTCTTTTTGAAGCTCTCTCAGATTTTATGTGGAGTCATTTTATCATGTTAGAGTGCCAAACAGTTGAAGAGAGCAGGGACCCTTGTTCTGTCCCGGCTGTCCCACTAGCTTACACCCGAAATAGCCACACAGAAAGTGTATTCATTTAAACACTGCCTGGCCCATTATATCTAACCTCTTCTTGGCCAACTCTCACATCCTGATCTAACCCATTTCCACCAATCTGTGTATCAACACGAGGTTGTGGCTTTCCAGGAAATATTCAGACCAGCATCAGTCTCAGGCAGGAGTGTCATGACATCTGCCACACTACCCTTCTTCCCAGCATTCTGTTCTGTCTACTCCACCGACATAAGTTCTGCCCTATCAAAAGGCCAAGGCAGTCTCTTTATTCAACCAATGAAAGCAACATACAAACAGGAGGACCTCCCACACCACTGCTTTACAGGTATTTCCGGCCCAGCATCCTAAAAACAAAAGCCCCTTGCCCAACTTGCTCCTCAGTTACTGGTATTACTCAGTACCATTTTATTTCCCTAGATATTGGAACATTTTCTGTTCCTCCTTACACATTTTGTTTATGGGAGAATATGAAAGGATGGGATTCAGAGTAAAGTATCAATTGCATTCGTCCCTTCTGAACCCACACACCCAGGCTGTTGAATTCCCCGAAAACAAGTGTGCTCCATTGGAGAAAGCTAAAGGTTGTAACTTTTTTTTTTTTTCGAGACAGGGTTTCTCTGGTTCTGGAGGCTGTCCTGGTACTAGCTCTTGTAGACCAGGCTGCACAGAAATCCGCCTGCCTTTGCCTCCCAAGTGCTGGGATTAAAGGCGTGTGCCACCATCGCCTGGCTAGCTCAGTCGGTAGAGCATGAGACTCTTAATCTCAGGGTTGTGGGTTCGTGCCCCACGTTGGGCACCAAAATATAACGGCGTAAGCGAATGCAGACAGATTGTCAAAATATAGACAGCTTTAATGGAGGAATAGACTTACAGAACCACTGTTCCCGTGGAGACCAGGAAAGCAGAAGCGAGGGCTGGGAGCACGCTCTCCAAATTTATAGGTAAACTTTAGCCTGAGGCGAACATGCCCCCTAAGGGGTGGGACTTATCCCTACACTCCATCTGTAGTCAGGCTCCTGTTTCTCATATCCTGTGCATAGATTCTAAATGATTTTCCTGATGTGTTCTGTTTCTTTTGTCTGTCCTCGCTGTCTCCGTCTTCATCCACACTACCCTCCTTTATTGAGTAGATTCTAATTAGCTTCCCAGCTTTCTGACTGTTTCTGTTTTGCACACCATTGCTATGCTGTTGTTTTGCAAGTGAAGACTGCTATTACGTTTGGACTCAAAATTCCGAAGTCTTAACAAGCTGTGCAGAAACTTAGCCTCACCTGAATACATCCGGGACCTTGTTGTGCTCTATATTTTAGCATTTGGCTTCAGATCTTTTCAAGTGATGTGATAATTATGTTTCAGACTTCCTAGAAGGCATTTCGCATATGGCATTCTTTTCTGGGCAACTGAAGTTTCTCCAAGTCTCAAGTACTAACTTATCAAAGAGCTCTCCCAATCTAATCTTAGGCAGTTCTCCTGCATTTTCTTCATAATGCTATGAGCTCTTCCTGTATAAAACACTCATTGCTGTTGTGGGGCCAAGGGATGGCTCAGTGGCTGCACAAACTTGAGCATCTAATTTGGGATCCCCAGCACCCACATAAAAGTTAGATATGGCAATGTGCATCTGTAACCCCATCTTTGGAGTTGTGGAGACAGGACAGTCCTTTGGGCTTACTGGTTAGCTACTCTAGTCAAAGCTGAGTTCCAGGTTCCCTGAGAGACCATGTCTCCAAATATAAGGTGTAGAGTGATATAGGAAGATACCCAACATCAACCTCAGTGCTCTGCAGATATAGGTATATAGGTGAGCACTCCTATATACANATGGCAATGTGCATCTGTAACCCCATCTTTGGAGTTGTGGAGACAGGACAGTCCTTTGGGCTTACTGGTTAGCTACTCTAGTCAAAGCTGAGTTCCAGGTTCCCTGAGAGACCCTGTCTCCAAAAAAGAAGGTATAGAGTGATAGAGGAAGACACCCAACACCAACCTCAGCCCTCTGCAAGTACAGGTGTACAAGTGATCACACCTATACACAGTGCATACACACACACACACACACACACAAATAAGTGAAACCACTCATCGCATTGTGTTGATTTTCTTCTGCTTCTGTCTTCTCTTATCAAATACTGTATGGACTTTGTCTTGCATGGTATTATCCTGAAGCCCCTGCACACAGAGGGGACTCAGTACACATTTTGTTTATGGGAGAATATGAAAGGATGGGATTCAGAGTAAAGTATCAATTGCATTTGTCCCTTCTGAACCCACACACTCAGGCTGTTGAATCCCCCGAAAACAAGTGTGCTCCATCTGTAGTCAGGCTCCTCTTCCATTTTTCACAAATGTGTCTTGAAATATTCATGAATTTCTCCGTTTTATCTGCTCCCTTCTCTATACTCAGGTAACCTTAACTCCCATTTTAAAGGGGAAATTACAGAGCTTTCTGTCCTGCCCTGTCCCGTAGAAGTCCAGTCCCAAAGAAACACACAGAGGCCTACATTAATTATAAACTGGTTAGCCTATTAGCTCAGGCTTCTTATTAGCTCTTACATCCTACATTTTAACCCATAATTCTTTTCTGTGTTAGCCAGGTGGCTTGGTACCTTTATCATCGAGACTTTCTCATCTTGCCTCCTGTTCTTCTGGGTGAGGACAGCTGACTGAATCTTTCCTCTTCCCAGAATTCTCTCATTCTCATTGCCCCAACTCTACTTCCTGCCTGGCTGGCCTGCCTATCCTTCCTGCCTGACTACTGGCCAATCAGCGTTTTACTAAAGCAATACAACTGATAAATCTTTCCAGGGTACAAGATAATGGTCCCACAGCAGTTCTCCACATGCACACTTGTGCTCTCTCCTTCACTGGGTAGGCAGCCATCCTACTGCCCAATGCCAGTCATTCTGCCTATCCTTAGTACCTGCCCCTCATCATCTGCTCCTTCATTTTTATCCCTAATCTCAGATTTCTTCCTTGCTGATCAAAATCATTCCAAACTTAAACATATCTCCATTCAAGTGACAATTCTAATTGTTTACTGTCTTACCTATCTTTCCTTTTATACCAATTTTTAATGTTTATCTCTTACCCTTTTCTGCCACTTTAAATCAGGTTAGTAAAATTTGGTCTATATTCCATCATTTGATTGAGCTTGCTCTTGAAAAAGTCATGAATAGCCTCTTGGTTGAATGAGTGAGCACCTTTCAGTCTTTACCTGCTGGATTCAGTAGTCTGTGATCTATTTCAGTTACTTTCCGGATGTCTTTTGGTTTTGTTTCATTCTGGTGTCCCCCAGACTGCACCCTTACTTGCCATATTTTGTAAGTGACCCCCAATGACATGGCTGTTCTCAGGTAAGAGACATAGTTTCTGGGGTCATTGTGTTTCTTTAGACATTCATCTTCACCTGGGTTCCAGGTAAATAGAAGTGGGGAGGGGGGATTCACAGCAGGTGTGGGGGAAAAGACAGATTTTAATTTATTTTATCTGCCAATAATTCATTTTTATTACCTCCTCTTATTAATCTTTTGATATCACATACTTATTTTTAGGATTTATTTCATTTTTATAGTATTTATAAATTTCTTCTCTTTTGAGAATTCTTTCTATTTTCTCCCTTCTTCCAAGCCTCAAAGAAGAAAGTTTTTATTTATTTATTTTTTTCCAAGATTTCTCCTGTATAATTTTCTTGCTGCAGGCTGCTGTAGTAGGCAGAAGCAGCACGGATGAGTCTCTCTCAGCACAGCTCTGTGAGAGCAATGAAGAGCTGGCAATGACCCCGTGTGCTGAGAGTAAAGGGAGTTTAAGTATTGCTCTTTCCTCTCCAACTGCTCTTGCTGAGCCTTCTGATCCCTGGGGAAGATTGTGTTCCAGGCTGCTAGTTCATCATGTCAGCCATTTACCTGCAATCGTCTTCCATCCTTTCTAGCCCTTTTAGTGGGAAAGAGGCTGCTGATTAACAAGTAGCAGGAGAAAGGGAGCAGTGTAGTATGGAGGTTGTCTCTAGAGTCAGTCAGCCCTGACGTGTCCTAGCAGAGTGACATTGGGCTCTTGAAGCTGGACATTCTTCAACTGTGGAATGGGCATAGTAGTGTCTTGTGAGTCACTGAAGATAGAATAAGGTAACTGCAAAACTCTAGCTGAGGGTATTCTAGACATGAAGTCAAATAAATGCTCCAAGTAATTTGAGGTAATAACTACTCAGGACTGGGAGAGTTAAAACAAAGTGTTGATGGTATCTGGGCAGTAAATGATGTGAGAGCTATACAGTGGGGCAGGAAGACAAGGACCTACCAGGTGATCAAACAAGATCTGAGCCGTTTCCATTTCTCATTCCACGTGTGACGAGACAGTCTGAAAAAAACTAGTTTGAAGTCTGATGTAGAGGCTGAAGAGATGGCTCTGGTTCAGAGTACTTGCTGCTCTTATAGTGGACCTGCATCTGTTTGCAAGCACTGACCTAGTCTTTCACAATCCCTTGTAATTCCATCTTCAGGAAGAAAAAGAATGTGAGTGAAGTTCCATGTTTTTCATCAGACCGTGGAAAAGCCAGGTTGTAGGAGGACACCTGTGTTTGAGTTGCAAGTAAAGATGGTAAGCGGAAAAGAATATTATGAACAAGGTAACATTCTAGAAGTTTAACTCACTCTCCTGTGCAGGGAACATTTCAGAAGTTGACCTCAAAACTACTGACGGCTGACACGGGGTTGTGAGGAAAGGAGAATGCAGGAAGTGTGAGCTGTGGTTCTGTGGCCAACACAGCTTTGATGGCGCAGGCATATCCGGTTTCAGACCTGCTACCTGTCAGCTTCATGGCCTTGTCAAGTACTTAAACCACTTACCTCTGAGCCTCAGCTCCTTGTCCCCACAGGAGGTAGCTGAGTTTCAGGGACAGTGAGGAGGTGTGGGTCAGATGCCTGTCACTGTGCTTCAGTTTAGCCCCTGTCATGCTAGCTCTGCTTATTCCCTGGAGACTGACTGGGTGTTTGGCTGGCAGAGGAACATGGAGAAATCATCTTACACTTTCAAGACTGGTTTAATTGGTGATGCAGAGAGAAGGAAGTCACCAGGAAGAATTGATTTGAGGAAGAGATTCTATATTCTATTTTAGGCACACTGAGTTTGAGACCCTGACAGGAGAGGCAAGGGGAATGTGTTGGCTCCCAGGGGTAAATTATGGATGAGCACACTTGACTAGACTGATAGTTTTCTTTTGGTGGAGAGTATGGTGTCAGGAATGTCTTGTGCTTTGGTTCCCAGTATCTCTGGATGTCTGGGAGGAGATGCTTCATCCCGATACCCTTCAGAGCAGCCTCTAACTCTGAGACAGGTGTCCAGGATCTGGCCACCTCCCCTGCCTCAGCTGCCTTACCGATGGCTGATGGCAGGAGGTTTATTCCTTTTCCTAGATTCTCTTTGTTTCATATTTGTTGAAATTTTGATAAAGCAGTTTGCTTTGTCATTTCGACGTTCATTTTGAATCAAGCTCCCCAACCCTGTGCACAGGCTGATGCTGAAAGTGGGGTTTTAACCGTTGCTATTTAAAGAAGTTCGTTTGTAGGTAATTAAATAGCATGCTTGTTATCTCATATTTGATAGGAAATAAGAAAACTTCTTTAAAAACTTTTTAAATGCAATGAAAATTGATTATATGCCCTTTCTTTCTAAGTTCTTTTGTTAGATTGTGTGGAAAATAGATTTCTTCCTTTAAAAAATATCAGTATCTGTACTTTCCTATATGTAAGATGGAAGACAGGAGGTCTATTTAAGTTATAGCTTGTGTTTTTGGCTTCACATAATTGGGGAGATTTTCATGTTAGTGGTTTTACTTGTTCCCAGGCCTGTACAGAAAGTAATCTTAGCTGTGCTGAAAGCAGCTCTTCTCTAGGTAGTAACCAGCATTTCAAATGGAGCATGTTTCAGAACAGCAGAGCCCTGATATTAGTAGCTACTAACTTATGTGATTTCAGGTCAGAAGTTGTCCAGATGTGTTGTGGAGCTGTGAGCCCACAGTGAATCCCATCTCATGGGGATGTTTATAGAGGACCTGTTAGGTTTTCTCTTGGTTCTTGAATACCTTCATAATCTCTATGTAATACTTTGTCTTCTCATTTTTTCTGGACCTGAATACCTTGCACATAATGAGACTCAGTGTGTATTTACTTTCAGTGACACATGTCAGTGTATAATGATGGTCATTGGATGTATGTCATTACCAAGATGAGAATCACTGCTGTAGAACTCTGTTACTAGTGGAGTGGTGTCATACATTTGATTGATGGGGGCTGGGCTCTGTGGAGGGAGATTGTAATGCCATGGGCTGGATCTTTTCTAAGAACTCTTTCAACCTTAAAATTGCAGAATTCTAGGAAATGGGCTTGGGCGTGGACACCTTTGACAAAAGCATTGATTTGTTGTGGTTGCAGATATTTATTGTTTGCCTTTTTGTGCTTTCTCAGAGAAACAAAGATGATAAAGCAGGGATTGCAGACCTAAATAAACATTGCTGCCAGTATTCAGGAATCCTTGCTTTGACAGTGAGCAAATTCAAAATTCTGTGCTGAATCAGAAATCTCATTCAGTAAGTGGGTTCACACATTTGGCAAAGACTTGTTGGGAGTGTTTTGTTCATTGTTGAACATCCTCCTGCTGGCTTCTTCTTCGTTCCTCTGTGTACAGCTATTGAGTTAAATTCATTGTGTTCTATGAACTTTTTTCCAAATCTCTTCTCTCTCTTCTGTTTTAACAAGTAATTGTATGCTTTTTTTTGTTGTTGTTGCTGTTTTTTTTTTTTTTTCTGAGACAGGGTTTCTTCTCTGTGTCCTGCAACTTGCTCTGTAGACCAGGTTGCCCTTGAACTCATAGAGATCCACCTGCCTCTGCCTCCTGAGTGCTGGGATTAAAGGCATGTGCTATCACTGCCCAGCTACAAATGATAATTCTTGGAGAACTGGTTTTGGCTTTCTTTATATTATTATTTAGAAATGTCTCTTCCATTATTGAATTAAGACACCAACTAAAAAGCTGCCTCACTTTTCACTAGCCCAGGAGGCTATCGTACACACAGTGTCTGAGTTTGTTAACTTTCTTTTTCTTTACCCATTTTTACTCAGGAATATGACTGTGATGGATTTGATGCCAATCATTGTCTGTGTAGCTCCTTGCTTTCTTTCATATACTTTTATAAGTATACTTTTTAGTTTACTTATATGCATATATGTATAAGTACTTATATATACTTTATTAATATAAGTTTATATACTTTCATGGCATTGAAATGTAGACAGTTGCCACTTAGTATTATTATCCAAAGAATATTTTCCTCCTCTATGTTTTCAGGACTTTAGGGAATTTCTTTCTCATTTTGTGCTTGAGAGAATTGAGACAATATAAATTTTTTTGGTGTCCATCATAGAGAGGCCAGGGAACAAGGAAAGATGATGTCCATGAAAACAGAAATACTAGAGTGAAGGATCCCGTATCCTTTCAAGAATCTTTAACGTTTGGATTATCACCTTGGTGTTCTAACCTGTCACGTTGACCATTTTTTCTGATCCCTAAAGAACTAGACACATTTTAGGAAGGAAAGATTCTTCACAGTAGGCTGCACTTCCCTCTGCTGGGTCAAGGTTGTCTCTTCGGCAGAAGTGCTGTGGCCACTGTTTTCGACCATGCAGCTGAGGCCCCTGCGCAGTCTTTACCTGTCTGGAAGGTATCTGGGCATGCGGAAGGGGCTGAAATGTGTAGTTGGAAATGGCTTCCCCTCCGTAGTCACTTTGCAAGAGTCACTTGTAGCTTTGCTGCCATTTTTTTTCCTATCCCTCCTTCTCCATTGACAACCAGTGAGCAGAGCCCCTGGCAATGTGATGACTAATTATTTTAGGAAGCCTGAGTAAGTCGCCATGGTCGCTGTAAACATCTAAACTTGAAATCTATTTTGTGCAAAGCAAAGACAGTGTTTGCATGCACCAAGGGAAAACTGGTGGTAGAAATTGCTGAACAATTTGCCTCTAACTGTAGTGGGAAATACTCTTTTTGGGAAATAAGATGGATCAATGTAATTCTTCTCTCCATGTAAAGCTGTTATTGAAGTAACAACTTATTGTATTTTGCAGTCCTAAAGTAATAAATAAAGCATTTATGGCTTGGAATAAATTGAGAGCATCCTATTACCTGTAGTAGCAGGCAAGTTCATATTTTTTTAAAGCCTCAGGCAGTAACATCAACAGAATCCTTTTTCTTCCTTATTTTCTAACCCAGAAGCTTCTAATTTCTTCCTGTCAAAGAGCCTCCATTTTGCTTCTGAGTATGTCTTCAGGCCCCTTCCTGATATGACTACATTTTGGAGCACCTCTTGTAAATTGTATTTACTATTAGTGCCTAGGAGGTACCTTGCTGTATAGACAGAGCATGGGCTGCCAACTGATGTACAGTCTGTTTTCTGTAGGTCTCTGGCTCACATTCAGACTCTAGCTCCATTAGGTATCTGGAATTCTCTGACACTAGAACAGTTCTTGGGCTCCATGGTATCAGGTCAGAACTCCCTTCTTTTTTTTTTTTTTTTGAAGAGTCCTGATGCATACGGTGCTGCATGTGCATGGTCACACAGTCTGAGGTCCTTCTGACCTGGTAGCATAACCCTGAGTGTGGGTTTTCATCCTTGCCCTTGGCTACACTGCAGAGCTGTCTCGGTTAATCTGCTGGTTCAGGATTGCCAGGTACTCATACAAGAATAACCTTCAGTTTCCCTTGAAGCATAAAGTGTGCCTTTCAAGCCCAGTGAGTCAATTTTCCTGTCCAAACATTTGCCTCTTATTTATTAACAAGTATTCATTGAGTTCCCACTGTCTGCAAGAGTCTGTGCTGTGGGTTTAGCAGGAGTAAATACTAGCAAATTATCCATTATTTAAAGAAGTTTATAATCCAGAAAGGAAGACAGTATGGGAAGTTTCATGTGTGGTAGGTGAAGGCAGGGTTGGTTTTATATTTGGTCTTTTGTTTTTCTTCATATTGTGTTAGTTGTTCTTCATCACTGTGACCCAAATAATAAACAGAAACAACTTGTAACAATAGGCAGAAATTTTATTTTGAATTGCTGTTTCATGTGTGTTACAGTTCATCATGATGGGAAAGGCATGGCAGTGGGAACAAATGGTAATGAGTCAGAAGGCAAGAAAGGGCAGCTGGACCAAGGACAGGATCACTGTCAAAGACTGACAGATAACAACAAACATAACAAAATAAAATGTAATAAAACAAAGCAAAAGCCATCGTATCAAAATTGAACATGGCAACCCAACAGGGGGAAAAGAGTCCATGAATAGGCAGAATAGTCAGAGACCCACTTGTTCTCACGTTCAGGAATCCCATAAAATTACTAAGCTAATAGCTGTAGTATATATACAGACCCTGTGCAGACCCATGTAATTGTTGCTTAGTCTCTGTGAGTTCACGTGTGCCTTGCTCAGTTGATTCAGACGGCCTTGTTCTCCTGGTGTCCTCTCTTCCCTCCATCTACTCTTTTGGCCTCCTCTTCTCCAGGATTCCCTGAGCTCTGGGGGAAGGATCTGATGGAGACCTCCAGTTTCCACTCTTTCCACATAATTTCTGGCTGGGGAAGGGGGGGCTTCCCTGCATCTGTTCACATTTGCTGTAGGAGGAGACCTCTTTGATGTATGGATAAGGCACCAACTGATCTATGAGTACAGCACAGTATTATTAAGAATGGTTTTGTTGATTTTTTTAGAACAGTCATATTGGCTTTACCCTTCAGTTATTTCCTTAGCAATACGAAATGTGTAACTGCAGGTTTTGAAGACTGGCCCTGCAGGCAATCAGAGCCATGTAATGTGCTCTCACCACACATCGTGGAGAACTTTCTGTAATTAAACACATGACTGCATTCTGATAGAATGTTTTCATTTTTGGAAGCCAAACTGTTGCCTCTTATTTCCATTTGTGATATAATAGAGTATCTGATAGTGATATAAAAAATAGGGGACTTAGATAAAATAGTAGTACAAGCAGCTAAACATCAAATTTAGCTTTGGCAAATGACCTGAGTAGTATCCTCTGGATAAGAAAATATAAGACATGTCTATTTGTTTCCTATTGTTACCTAATAACTTACAGTTTAACAAACCATTGATGTTTATCTTACTATTTTATGGGCTAAAGTCCAAGGGTTGATAGGCCTGCCATTCCTCCTGAGGCTCTCAGGGGAGAAGCTGCTTTCTAACTTTTCCAGCTTCACAACATTCCCAGACTCGTAGCCCCTTCCATCTTTAAAGCAGCAAGTGGCCACCCTCCCAGAGTCACGTGTGTTCTGACCATGGTCAGAAAGGCTGCTCTGCCTAACAGACCTGAGGGATAATGCAAGATGTCCTCCCTGTCCTGAAGTCGTCAAATTCCCTGCACTTTCCTGTTGCTATGAGGGGTCACAGATCTTCAGGTTCTAGAAATTGTGCTGTAGGTGTCTCAGGGGTCTAGGCCATTGTTCTGTCCACCAGAATGTGGGAATAGCTAGCAGAAGCTTTCCCTCAGAATGTATTTCCCTAATGTGCTTCTGATTTGCTATCAGGTCTTTAAGAAATCTTCACTAAAGGATCCACCCCCCCCCCCCCCCCCCAAAAACCTACCAATTCAGTTTGGGTCTTAATCTCTAGCAATGCTAATGCTGGGTCTTTTGTTTGCTTTGATAGTGATAACCTGCTAAGAAGAGCAGCCTGTCAAGAAGCTCAGGTAATGTTATTTCCTGTGATAAAATTAAGTCACCCCTCATCTCCGTGGTGCAGGAGAGACAGCTCCTCCAAGGGACTCATGTGGGGTCTCGCATCAATGCAGTTTGACTCTTCCTCCACCTCCAGATGGGTCAGGCTGTCAACCAGTTCTGAGTAGGATGGAGGAAGTCAGCCATCTGGTGAAGAGCGGTTCTGACACCCACCCTTTTAGACTTGTTTACTCGGGCTCACCCCTAGAACACATAACTGGACTGGCTGAAGAGCTGGGAATTGGTGCCTGTTGCAGTTACCCCTGAAGATCTGGCTAAAGCCTGAATCATTCCTGATTGAATCACCCCCAGGGATAACGGTTCAGAGCAGATGTTACCTCTGAGAGCCAAGTCTTGTTAAAATTGTTTACTCCTCCTTTTCAAGCCCGTCTCCCTGACATGGCTGATCCATGGCGTCACATTGCTCTCCAGTTCCCTGGGATTCTGCTTTAGCATCGTTTCTCTGACTGTGGTGATGATAGTTGAATTGCAAACCTTTCAGATTTAAGACCCTGGTTTGCTCTCTTCCCAATGTGTAGTTTATACTCTGCAGATGGAGTTCTGTGACTCAGTGCCTTTTTGTTCTATGCCATTTAAGCTTATGACGTCAGAAATGTCTAAAGAAATGTGTGGAAGTTAAAATGACAAAGAGAACACATTTAGTAGAAGTGGGTGGCAGACCTCATGTTTGTTTCTGAAGTGTTTTCACTTCAATAGATACTATTAATAAATCCTTCTTTGGTTCTAAATATGCTCTAAGAATTTGATTTTCTTTCTGCACAGATAGACCATCTAGTAAAGCTTAGAGTTGTTTAAAAATCAATTTACATAAACTTTAAATTTTCTTTTAAAGATCAGCATGGTAGTTTAAACCTATAATTCCAGCTTCTGGGAAGCTGAGGCAGGAGGAGTATCACAAGCTTACCTCCTGGGTTACATAATGAGTTTCAGGCCAGTCTGAACTGTACTATGAGACCCTCTTCCAAAAAATAAGCTTTTGGGTTATTTTTTAATTGACCCAATATTTTTATAGCTGTTTTAGTCTCAGTATGATACTCCAGTACATGTATGCAATACTTAATAACCAAATCAAGTGACTGTTGAATATAACTTAATATTGAATATAATTCCAGGTAGTTGTGCTGATACACCCTCCTCTTACTAAGGTGCATCCTCCGCCTCTGTTCTGAATCCCATCCCTCATACTTTCCCAGGAATAAGGTCTTGTTGGATAATTTCCCCCGCATACTGACCTCCTTACTATTCTAGTCCTCCACTCCCCTGCACCTGTTTAGCTCCTTCCCTGTGACTAAGGTGGGTTGATACTCACAGCTTTCTTGACTTTTCCTGTGTTCTTTTTACAGTCTAAATTACTGAATGGCTAAAATAAAAGTCATGTAATTCAACTCTAGTCTCACACTTAATCCATTATGGAACCTAGACTTGAGTTATAAGTATGGTTAGCCACTCTAGGGACTGAGAAATGAGGACAAGGAGGGGTAATTTAGTGCTGTGGGTCTGGAATATGGTGTCTTATGGTTTCTATTGCTGGGCAGAGTCTCCATGACCACAGCAACTCTTATAACAGAGGACATTTAATTGGGGCTGGCTTACAGTTCAAAGGTTTAGTTCATTGTCATCATGGCAGGAAGCAGGGCAGCACTCAGACAGACATGATGCTGGAGAGGTAGCTGACTGAGTTCTACATCTGGGTGGACAGACAGTAGGAAGAGAGGATCAGACAATAGAAAGAGATCACCATGCTGGGCCTGGGTTGAGCATCTATAACCTCAAAGCCCACTCCCCCAACAAGGTCATATCTTCAATAACGCCCTATCCTATCAGTCTGTGGGTGCCATTTTCATTCAGACCACTGCATTCCATGCCCTAGCCCCCATAGGCTTATGGCTGCATCATAATGCAAAGTGCATTTAGTCCAACTTCAAACGTCCTCTAGTCTATCACAGTCTCAACCATGTTTGAAAGTCCACAGTCCAAAGTCTCTAATACTCATGGCGATCTCTTAACTATAAGCCCATGTAAAATCAATTTTTTTAAAAAAATGTAGATTACATACATGTAACATGCAATGGCACAGGATATACATTACCATTCCAAAATGGAGGAAAGGGAGTATAGTGAGGAAATACAGGACCACAGCAAGACTGAAAACCAGCTGGTAAACTCCAAACTCCGCATTTCCATGTTTGATGTCAACGTGCTCTTCAGATCTTCAGCTCCCGATAGCTTTGTTGACTGAAAGACTGTTTTCTCTTGGGCTGGTTCAACTCCATGTCAGCAACTTTCTTTGTCAGATTTCCCATGGCTCTGGCATCTCCAACATCTTGGTTTTCCAGGGCAATCCAGGCTTCACCTTTACAGCTTCACACAATGAACTCTCTAGGCCTCCATGCAGGGATACCCTGGCATCCTGGCATCCACAGCTTTCCTTAGTTGAGGAGGGAGATCCATAACTCATTTCTTCTATGCTTATCTAAAGGCAGAGCTATGTGACCGAAGCTGCCAAGTTCTGCTGCTTGCTGGGGCTGGAAAATGGCCCCTTGTTGAAATACATTTTCACTAGCTTTCTGTTTTCAATAGTTTCCTTCACTGCCTAAGCTTGACTGTCCTGGAACTTACTCTGTATGCCAGGCTGGCCTTGAACTCTGAAACCCACCAGCCTTTACTTCCCCAAGACCAAGGCATCTCTTAGAAAGGAAACCATTTAATTTGGGCTGGCTTACAGTTCAGAGATTTAGTCCACTGTCATGGTGGGAACTATGGCAGCACTCAGGGAGACATGGTGCTGGAGAGGTAGCTGAGAGTTCTACATCCAGATTGCAGACTGCAGGAAGAGAGTGCCACATGGCGGCCTGGCTTGAGCACCTGAAACCTCAAAGCCCACCCCCTAGTTACACACTTCCTCCAACAAGCCAACCTCCAATAATGCCACTCCCTCTAAGTCTAAGGGGGCAATTTTCATTCAGACCAACACAGATAGTGAAATTCTAAAATGAAGTAGAACCAACCAAATTATGATATTTGGAGATTTTGCAGCAAAATGTCAAGATCTGAGTAAGCGTAAAAAGAAAACAGAACTGATGATGGGCCAGGTAGTTGTTTTTATAAAGAAAATATCTTTTTGAAGTATTTGGAAAGTGGGGGGGGGGGCATGTGCATGTCTGTGCACTTATGTCTCTGTGAGCCAGAGGTTAGGATTGGTATGTCATCCTCAGTAGATTTCCCACCTAATTTCTGATTCATTGTTTCTTACTGAATTCAGAGCTTGCTGTTCCAGCCAGACCCGCTGCCCCTAGGACCTGCCTGTTCACCTCCCAGCACTGGGGCTGTAGACTACATTGATACTCTCCACTTTCTACCTGGATGCTGGGGATTGAGCTCAGTTCCCTAGGCTTGCACAACAAGCGCTTTATTCTTCCTTTACCCACTGAGCCCTCTCCTCAGCTCAGGGGGTGTTTATTTAGAAGCAAGAATGGACAACCAGGAAGGTGGTAGATTTAGAATGAGTTATTTAATACAGTATCTTTGTATAACTTTTTTTTTCTAATCTTTACTTTTTAATTCTCTTCTAGAATTCTGCTGCCATAGCCCAGCTTTGTTTCTACTTCCCCTCCCGAGACAGGGTTTCTTTGTGTAACAGCCTGGCTGTCCTGGAACTCAGTTTGTAGACTACGCTGGTCTTGAACTCACAGATATCCACCTGCCTCTGCCTCCCAAGTGCTGGGATTCAAGGCATGCTCCACCACCGCCCAGCTCACATTTCTGCTTTTCCTATCGTTTTCCCCAGCTCTCCGCTCCAGACAGCACAGTCGGAGCTCCCATCCTGTTGCCAGTTTGAATGCTCACATTTACTTCTCCGCTTTTTGATTCTACTCAGCCTTAGAGCCAGTGGAGTAGAAAAGGCTTGAGTAATGGGCTTCTTTTGTGTATGCAGATGTGAAAATTCACTGGTAACATAGACTTTGACAGGGGTGGGGAAGGATAAGTTTCAGTAATGAACTGGAAGAGAAAGGATTGTCCACTGAAAACTGAAGCCACATTGGTTAAACTTCCCTTCTCATAGCCTGTGGCCTTGCACATTGTATGCTTATGTAATACAGTCAGTAATATTTTCTAGAAGATACTGCCTCTGGTAAGTGAAGCAAGGTTTTTATCCTAATGTAAAATGGCTTACTGTCACTAAATAGCAGTGTCCCTGTGTTACATTGCTTGTGGATTCTATTATGGAGATCATGAATGAACTTTTGTTCTTTGGCCAGAAATAAATTCTTTAGGGGTTGAAAAAATGTAGGTGATGATCATATAATTAATATGTGATAATTATTCAGATATTCATCTGAGTAAAGGGTGTTGTAATTAGGAGCGGGCTGCATCCCGCTACCCAGCTAGCTTATACCCGAAATAATTATACAGAAATGGTATTCATTTAAACACTGCCTGGCCCATTAGTTCTACCCTCTTATTATCTAACTCTCACATCTTGATTAACCCATTTCTATTAATCTATGTTCACCATGAGGTCATGGCTTACAAGAAAGATTCTAACCAGTGTCAGTCCCAGGCAGGAGCTTCATGGTGTCTGCCACATTTCCCTTCTTTTCAGCATTCTGTTCTGTATACTCCGCCCACCTAAGGGCTGCCCTATCAAAAGGCCAAGGTAGCTTCTTTATTCAACCCATGAAATCAACACAAATACAGAAGGACCTCCTACACCATTTCCCCTTTTCTGTTTAAACTAAAAAAGAAAGGCTTTAATTTTAACATAGTAAAATTACATATAACAAAAGTTATCAAGCAAGAATTACAGTTATAATATTTAGATATATTTTATCTTTTATCATAACGAAGAAAAACTATAACTATACCTAACCATTCTTTAACTCATCAAAGACTCCAGAAGGATATAATATTACCTAAGTAAACAAGAAGTAAGCAACTTCCAAAACTCTAGAAATGACAGAGACGTCTCACTGCCTGTACAGTCATCCAAAGTTCCTTTGTACCGTTGGGGCATCCATCTTCAGCCTACACGTCCATAGTCTCCAGCAGACATTTCCATGAAGCAGGAAATTTCAAAGGCACTTCAGTCACTTTCTTCTGTGTCCTGCAGAATGTCTCACAGACTCTTATGAATCAGGAATCCTGAAGGATCATATCACCTTTAGGCAAGTTCAGCAATTCTCTCTCTGCAGGTTCTTGATGTTCAGTTTATGCAACAGTCCAGGCAAAAGCAGTTTCTTGCCCAAATAGCTAATCAACTCCATAAGGAACCTCTTTGATGCCCATCTTCCTCTTGAAGTAGATTGATGCTGCCAGGAGCAGATGTATCTCATTGTCATGAAAAGTCCTAATTTATTAAAACATTTTAATGCCATATTCTGTAGTCTTTGAAAGATATGAAGAATGCCTATGTAACTGAAATATATCTCTATATATCTAAAAAAATCTAATGTGACTACAAGCTTGACTATTATCGATGATTATCCATTAACAACCTATATTTCCTAATTATATATTCTTTTTCTTTTCAGGTGTTTGGTAACCAGCTCATTCCTCCCAACACACACGTGAAGAGAGCCACAGTCTTTCTCAATCCTGCAGCCTGCAAATGGTATTTTAGCTTCTGAGTTATTCTCAAAGTGGAAGTAATAGGTTCCTGTCAAGTAACCATAAGTGATCTGACCTTCAACAAACACCAAGGCTTTGTGTCAGCTTGCAAGTGATCCTCTTGGGAGTGATTGTTGCTCTTCCTTACTAATTGTGTCAGGATGTCACCATAGACAAAGATGTACAGAGATGACCAAGAGCACTGTGGGCTCAGGAGGACAGTGTGCTCTTTCCAGAAAAGGGAATCCTCAGCTGGTTCTGGAGCAGCATGTTCATTATTCCCAAACGAGGATGCTGCCAATAGGGCAGTGATAGGGGGGAGAATGACCGTGTTCCTCAGTAACTGATGCACAAAGGGATTGTGCGGAGGGAATTCAGTGTGAGGAAAGCTGGGCTTTTGTTTACAATGCTGTTTTTCTTGGTCGTATGTACTTGATGAAATGGAGGGGTACTGTGAAGGAGAGGAGAGGATGCGGAGGAATCAAAGTGATTATAAGTGAGGGAAAATGCAAAACAGAAAAAAGAAAGTGTACAGTGTTAGTTAGGCGGTTGGAGAGATCAATACAGAAAAAAGAAAGTGTACAGTGTTAGGCGGTTGGAGAGATCAGTACAAAGACACTGACCATTTTGGAAAAAAGCAATTTAAGATTTATATTAAAAAATAGAATGAAAGAATTGAAGAGGAAAAAAATGATGCCTATTGTTTTCCCAGTGTCTAGATCAGTTGTGCTTTCTGAGTCTTGAGTAATTTGTGAATATTTGTTAGGTTAGATGCTATATAATTGAAGTCACATGACATTGGTGATGAGTAGTTGGGGTCGTGTTTTAAATGTCCAGGCAAAATGTGGAGCAAAAAGGAGCAGGGGCCCCAAAGTCAGTTTGGGGGATATGTATGATCTTTTGGGGAAGCTTGAGCTTGACTCCACACTGACTGGTGTATGCACCCATTCTGTAAATTGTGCCTGATTATGCAGATTAACCTTGCTTAATAGACTACTGCTAGGCTTGGTTCAGGCCTCTCCTCTTCTCCATAAAAACCAGGTTTCACATCAGTAATAAACCATATTGTTAGGTCCCTAAACAGCAGAGCCAAAATACCCAGTCCATCAGTCACTGTGACCTGGCGAAAGCAGCAGAGAGTTCAGTGTGTATGCGTGTGCGTGTGTGTGTGTGTGTGTGTGTGCGTGCGTGCCTGTGTGTGTGTTGTTCTGCTTCTAGAATATTCCTTTTTTCACAAACACGTGTGTGTGTGTGCATGCATATGTATGGGCACATTTGTGCACATGTTTATAGAGGCCAGAGGTTGATGTAGGGACTGTCTTCAGTTGCTCTTCCATTTTATTCATTGAGGCAAAGTCTCTCAGTCAAACTCAGAACTTGCCAATATGTCTGCTGTGGGGATCCCAGCCCTGTCTTCAGAGGCCTGGCTGCCATCACACCATCACACCCACTGTGCACTTACGTGAGTTTTGGGATCAGAACTCCAGGTCTTCACACTTGAGCTTGTTCAGGCAGCCTTAGCTATTGAGCCTTCGCTCCAGCCCCGATTTACATTTTTGAAGTTAAAGCAGATTCTTGTTTGCAAGTATAATACCTTATCAAAAGGCAGGTTAAGATGCTGCCACAGATGGCCTTTCCTGAGTGCGTTTCTTCCTATAACAAGGTAGACCCCCACATGCATGTAGGACACAGTTACTTTTAAACTCTCCAGCTCTTTTTTTTTTTTTTTCAAAGTTTTTACTAGTTAATGGCACGGTTTTTGTCATCATGTCCATGCACTAACACAATGTATAATTTATTGTGCAGCTATCTCATTATGTAGGACTGGTTTAAAACTTCAGGAAATAGCTTGGATTTGCAGAGGAGCTGGTACCATTGTTTTTGTGTGTTGTACTTCAAGTCCTGCATCAGGGAGCTGTGAGGCAGTCATGGGTGAGCAGGGATCTCGCAAAATAAATGCAGTGATGATGTGCATGTTGACTTCACATGGGAAGAGTGTATGTTGCTGGATACTTCACAGAGGAATCTACAAAGATGTGATGGTGGAGATGTACAGGAACCTCACTACCGTAGGATACAGTTGGGAAGACCATAATACTGATGAATGTTGTCAATGTTCTAGAAAACATGAAAGAAGTCATACTGGAGAGACACCCTATGAATATAATCAGTGTCGTAAAGCCTTTACACGATGCAAAAGTCTTCAAAGACATAAAAGAAATCATACTGGAGAAGAACCCTATGAATGTAATCAATGTGATAAAGCCTTTACAGAACGCCGAAGTCTTCAAATACATAAACGAATTTATACTGGAGAGAAACCATATGAATGTAATCAATGTGGTAAAGACTTTATACAACATAGTCATATTCAAAGACATAAAAGAACACATACTGGAGAGAAACCTTATGAATGTAATCAGTGTGGTAAAGCCTTTGCATGTCACAGAAATCTTGCAATACATAGGAGAACACACACTGGAGAGAAACCCTATGAATGTAATCAATGTGGTAAAATCAATGTGTGTAAAAGCCTTTACATAACGCAGAAGTCTTCAAATACATAAAAGAATTCATACTGGAGAAAAAACGCATGAATGTAATCAATGTGGTAAAGCCTTTACACAACATAGTCATAGTCAACTTCAAAGACATAAAAGAACACATACTGGAGAGAAACCTTACGAATGTAATCAGTGTGGTAAAGCCTTTACCCAGTTATCTTCAAAGCCATAGAAGAACACATACTGGAGAGAAACCCTATGGATGTAATCAGTGTGGTAAAGCCTTTGCACATCACAGAAATCTTGCAGTACATAGAAGAACATACACTGGAAAGAAACCCTATGAATGTAATCAGTGTGGCAAACTATTTACAATAATTGATAGTCTTCAAAATAATGAGAAAAAGTCATACTGCAGAGAAAACAAAAATATAGCAATTGTGGTAAAATTATGTACTTTAGACAAGAGTAAAATTTTTGTGTACAGTAAACATTTGAAAGAGTTATTATGACAGTAGTCTTTGAGTACCTGTAAAAAATACTGAGGTCTTATTATTTTAAAGTATTTGGTAAAATCTTTATACAACAAACTTGCATTCAGTGACACAAGAGTATTTTGTAGAAAAAAATTGACAGTGGCAAAAATCTGTTCAAACTTTATAGCGTCCATTGTTTACTGTGTTTGCTCCCACAGACTCATGGAAAAATGAATTTATGAACCCTTATGTGTTGATTAAAAGGATCAGTGAAAGAAACACATGGTGATCCTGAAACCAGAACCAGTAAAAAACCTACACTTTGGCCCTAGAACCAAAGTAAAAGAAACAATCTCTATCTCTGACCAACTGAGTGTGAACCCAACCAATCCCCAAGCAGGAAAACCAATGAATTCCTGAACACAAACTCCAGCAAATCTCTGAGCTGTTCAAACTGAGGGATTGAGATCTTACCAATCCCCACCCTAAAAATTTCCCTGGAAACTCTCCAACCCTAAGAAGCACCATTACTCAGTTGACAGTTGCCCTTTTTCACTCTGGCGGACACAGGTAATCTGGATTTCTCCCAAATAAATCTCTTGAATGAGTTTTGGGTGAAGATTTAACTTTTGCTGGAATAAAGCAGAATCTCTGCTTGGAAACTTACTAGTGGAGCAGAGCATAGGAGAAACGGTCCCCTCTGCTGGGAAACTCCAGCAGAAGCAGAGCAGAAGTAGCGACCTTTTGCTGGACCCAGAGCAGGTGGCTACATTTCTGTAGGTGTTTCCTCATTATTTGAGTAAGGTAAAGAAGTAACAACTTGGTCCAAAGCTAAGATGAAATGGACATCTCTCCTGGGACGGGCTCTCAGCAGGGTGGAACAGAACCCAGTTGTAAGGTCTCTATTGGAGGGGAGCAGGATAGACACATTCTATGGGCAGACCATTCCCCACCAGAACACAGCTTCAGGAATAACCTCACTTCTCAACAGTCAAGATGTCTTTCTCCTCACCGTTAGGTATTCATGATACCTTCCCTTCACAGCTGTTAGTATAGCCTGACTTACAACAGTCAGGTTGTCTTTTGCTTCAATGCTGTAGGTAACCAGGATACCTTCCCTCAACAGCTTCAGGTATAGCCCGAGTTCCAAACTTAAAGCTCCTAAGTCTCCACCCCATCAGTCCCTGGTTGTAGTCTGGGGCCACTTGTTTATTTCCCGGCTGGCCAGACTCATGAAATAATCACACAAAAACTGTATTATTTAAATCACTGCTTGACCAATAATTTAAGCCATATTGCTAGCTAGCTCTTATATCTTATATTAAAACCTTTCTATGATTTTATATTTTACCATGAGGCTCATGGGTTCTGACTGGCAACTCTCATCTTCCTCCTCTGGCAGCTCCATGGCTTCTCATTGGCTCCACCTACTCTCTCTATCTCTTCCAGCCTGGCAATATTCTGTTAAGCCATTGGTCAAAAGCAACTTCTTTACTAACCAATAAAAGTAACACATATGTAGAAGGGCTTCCCACACCATCGGGTATCTGCCTTCCTGGCAGGAATAAGGATATTTTAAAAGACATTTATTTCTTTCCCTTTGCTTAACAACTAGAGAAGCAGTAGATACCAGGGAATTCTAATTTCTAATTTCATTATGGGAAAAGATTTTACTAATATAAATAGATCAGGAAAGACAAGGTGTAAATCCGAAAGTTTAAGTAAGGTGGTTTAAACACCTTACAATTCTGTCCAAAAGTCAGAATTATGTGTTATTATGATGATATTATTGTATTTTACAGAATAGTTGCTGATTTGTAATATGTAGAAAGACTTGTTTGGCATATTGAAACTGCTGAATGTATGCCAGATGATGCAGATTTGGTATTATTATTTATTCAATTTCAAGAAATAATCGGGAATAAGAGTTATCCCATTTGGGTCTCCAGGCCCTGTAGCACAAGGTAATGATGAAATTGATAGGAAATGTGCTGAAGCACTCAGAATGTCATAAAAATATTTCA